CCAGAGAAAACAACAAATACAGAAGGAGCCCTAATAAAAGTAGGGCTCCCAAAACACAGTTGCTGCTTGCCTTTATGGAGTCAGTTAGGACGCAATGGTGTAAGTGCCCAGAGGCTTTTGCCAGCACCAGTGTAAATATACAGTCTTTAAAAAACAGAAACGATGGCTTTTGGTTATATAATGGCATAGTATCATAAAACCATCCTGATTAGTTTGGAGCTCGTCACAAGGGGAAAGCTTTTAAAATTCAGGAAGTCGAGGATTTACTCTTAATTCAGTCACTGTGAGCTGAGAGCCAAGTGGGGGTTGAGTGGGGAGAAGGAAAAGGAAATAAAGATAACGGAAAAAAAAAAAGAAGCATCATGTACCCAGCAGCACCAATGCAAATCCCAAACCGCACTACAGCCTTCATGGGTGTCAACAGTGGAACTGAGATAGCAAGCAAAAAAATACGCATTACAGCAGGCTGAGGGACTCCTAACTCTTATCATACAGGAACCGCAATCTCCTCTATCCTCTATTTCAATCCTGTATCCCAAGCCCTCTGAAATTGCTCCTCACTGTTCATAATGAGTGCCCTCACTGTAAACTTACTCTTGTTGTCATTCCATGGCACAGAACGACTTGTGGTGTGATCCTGCTGTGACAATGTCCAATTTAATTAGATCTAATGTAATCTTGGATTAAAGTTAGCAAGTGGTGGGTTGGGATCTTTTTACTACAGCCAACTAAAAAGTATAGAGAAAGATAAAAATAAGGTATCAAAGAATTACCCACAAACCCCAGAACACTGGCCAAATTCTAAACCCACACCTGGTAACAGTGAAATACTAATCAAGAGTAATTGTTTTAACATAGTTACCTTAAAAAGCAAAACGTTTAAACAGCCTCTATACCCTTGTTACCTGATCTATTCATCTGTTACCACTATTCAGATTAATTACATTTCTCTTTAAACACTCCTAGGAGTAAAATGATTTTTTTAAAAAAATATAGACTCTTTCTTTCTCCCATCCCCAAAAAACCCTAAAACTGGCTGACAGTATTTCCTAGATACATTTTTAAATACCACTGTTTTATAACAAACACCCTCTCTCCAAGAATCGTTAGCAGTACTGGTTTGGGGTGAATGAACTGGCAGATCACACCCTCCTTTATGCCTCCTCTGGTGCCGCTGATTCTGAAAAGCTTAAAAAAATTTGGAGGAATCGGGGCTGGCGATCAGATTAGCCAATTCCATGGCGCGCTACGCCCCAGGACGAGGTGGGCAGCTATCCTGGTCTCCATCCCATCCGCCCCATGACTCTCCTGAGACATTCCTGGAAGACTGGCCACCGCTGAGCGCCCAAACAGAACCTGGGCCAGGAGGCAGCGAGTGCTTCAGCAAAGGTCCCTGCACCGACCTCACTTGAGCATCCCTTTGAGGTTCGCCACTGAGGTGCACCCTCCAAACTCCACGTGCTTTCCACGGGAGCCTCTTGGCAATATCCAAGTGAATACAGAGAGGACTAAGTGCAAAGGAAAAAGCATCCTAGGGAGCGATGAGGAGGAGGGAGCTAGGAGGAGGAGAAGTACATGACTAAGAGTCACAGAAATGTATATGCCCCGTGGGACCAAAGGGTCATTTACAAAACGGAGCCCAGAACACAAGCCTTCTACTTTTGCTTAGACACCAGACAGAAAATTGCTCTTTGTGCAGGCTGTGGAATGACAAAATT